GGGGGGGGGGTTGTTAGGGAAGAAAGGGACAGGATACACTCTAGGAAATATGTGCGGTCGCAATTAGACGGATCTTAATACACTACCCTGAACCACACAGTTCTTCAATGGTTTGCAATGAGTAGTACCGCCAATGTTGCCGTGGTGACGGTATTTCTTGGCTGTGGGAAGGGATGAAGAAGCTGTTGAGCTGAGCACCCCATTGTCCTAGAATGATATTGATAATTTGGCGGATATTCTGATGCTGAAATATGATGCATAATATTCTTTGCGGGGGTAGTTATGATGTTCACAACCGGAAATGTCACTGGCAACCTGTTGTCGTTTCTATGGGTGTCTCGTGTTGTTTTGTTTTGGTTATTTGTTGATGTTCAGTTTTGCCCCTATTTCGATCTTGGATGGGGGCTGGGCGACAGCTCCAGGAGGCTTGTCCACCGTGCAACGCGGGGTCCGGAAACCGGAGACCATGGTTGGTTGTTAAGGAAGTACCCGGGATTGAACGGTTGGTAGCTGCGAATTGCCGATAAAAGGGCGCACTCGAGGTATCGTCCAAACAACCTTGACTAAAAGTATATGCTGGGAGGTAGCGACTGACGACATGGCTCGTCTCCTTGCCTTTCCCAATTCCAAAGTTTTTACATATGTTTTCCATCAGTCCCTTCCCTTGTCCTCTGTTGGTTTGATATCGCACTCTCGATTGCACTGCCGTAGCGAGTGTTCACCATGCCGTCTGGCAAAAGACCAAACGCAACAAGCCATCGTTGTGAAGCAGGACCACAAGTGGCAAGAACGGGTTGTCGTCGTTTCCCTCGAGACAAGCAATGGCTTGTCATTGGTGAGCAGGCCATGCCGACCCCCGAGCACGTCATCCGAGCTAAACCCAACATTGCAACATCATTTTCTCTCAGGCCTGGATATTGTCTTGACTCGCCTTGTCTGACTCCGATTAATGCGGAGAGGACTCCGTTTTGGTTTTATGGAAACCGACGAAAGTTTCGTGGAGTTCGTCCCATCCGATCCGCCGTCATGGCATTTCCGGGAACCGGAGGAGGTTTGGGGGTTTCATGTAGCTGGTACTTGCGTTCAACCTTTGCGTGATGCCGCTCCCTGCTGCAACTTCTTGGAGAACTTCGAGAACCTAATAAACAAGAACGAACGAACCGTTCACCAAATTTGTGTTAGTTGATGACCGAACGGGACGAACAAAAACACGCTTGGGGTATGTTCGGCAACCGACTGGTCCTGGGCTAATATAAAATTTTAGATACCTTTACCCCCAGTTGACTACAGTAGAGTGGAGGTAGTGCTTTGGCCGTACCAGTTTCTTCCCCGCTTTCCAGCCTTGTACGAAAAGGGTATAATGCAACTGGCTCTAGCTCACCGCCTTTGTAACAACCTCGGGTGTAAATCCTAATTTCTATTATCTTCTATAATATTTGTAGTATCATTATTAATATAAATTATTATTATTTATAGCTGTTTTCATTCCAATCGCTATAGCTATTAACTTAACTAACACACCCATTAAGGAGGTCATTAACCTCTTGCTTATTGCTACGAATACATTAAGTAGCATACTTATAAACAACTTCTTAATACCATAGGAAGCAACACTACTAAACAATTTCTCCTAAGACAATAAAACTGTTACAAGTTGGCATTGGCTATATAGTGTGCATTCCGAGTTCTGCTTTACAAGCAGAACATTATTTTTTCTTTTGTAGGTTTGGCCGTCTAGGCATATGCACCCTAGCCTGTCATAAAAACTATTTTTATCAATCTAATACTCTTTAAAAATTAAACTATTAATAGTTAAGTAGTTAATAATTAGCTTAATAATAATTAAATTAAGTTTCATCCTATTAAAATTGTTAATAGTCGTTCTCTTAGTATAACATATTTTTTTTTAAATAACGTACCATTATTATTTCAACCTCTCGCAGCCTTAACTATTAAAACAATAATAACCGAAACACCTTAATTAAGTTGAAAATGCTTGTAGTTCTTAAATTACTATCTTCCAGTCTATTGGTTCTTAATTGTTTAGTTTTAGTAGTAAGTGAATTATCTTTAATAATAAAAGAATCATTATAGTAATAAAATAGTTTGCTAAGTATATTAACAAAAGGTACTTTAAAAGTAGTAAGCGTAATGAGTATAATAAAGTATAGCAGAAAGTATTAAAAACATATAAAGGAAGGTGGCTATATAACTTATAGACTAATAGACCCTTTTCTTCAAAGTACAATATTAAAAAGCTTTGATATTAAATATGGAAGGAGTTAATAATATGACAAGCTAGGGTGCATATGCTTAGACGGCTAAATCTACAAAAGATAGGACGATGTTCTGCTTGCAAGGCAGAACTTAGAATGCACACTATATAGCCAATGCCAACTTGTGACACTACCTCCCCTTAAAGCGAAGTTATCTTTCGATAATCTTCAAGATAAGGCCTCGGCCCGGCCTCATTCCGAGGGCGACAATGTTGCGGAGGATTTATCGCAATGCGACAGCTTATATAGCACTATCTGAAAATGCAACTTCCCGCTAAGTTGGACATTTTCCAATGTGCCGATACGTGGCATTTCAGTACTTTTCGATTTGCATCCATAGTCCTCAATTGTCATTACATTCTTAGGAGCTGCGCTCGACTAAGTGCCGACAAAAGTATCCTAAAATTGCTCTCGAAATTGCCACGGTCGGGAATCGAACCCACCGCTTAAGCAGAACATACTATGACAGGCTAGGGTGCATATGCCTAGACGGCTAAACCTATAAAAGATAGGACGATGTTCTGCTTGCAAAGCAGAACTCGGAATGCATACTATATAGTTAATGCCAACCTGTGACAGTTAATTAGCGAATTAAAAATAGGTTGATCTATATAAAAGAAGTTTTTAAACCAAGTAACTAACTTAGTATAGAGTCTTTTAATAATATTTTTTGTATACGCTAGCCCTCATAGGTATATAGTATTAAAGTTGCATTATTACAACTAGTGTCACAGGTATTACTGCTCTATTTCTATATATAAGTACACATGCACATATGCTGTAGTAGTGTAGCTAGCTGAGTGCAGCTGTCTAACTGCAGTACATTCAGTAGTCTAAGTATAGACTGCTGTTATAGGTCTGGGTATCCTACATAGTTCTCGTGCGCACACAAGATTCTCTTCCTATTCTTCGCATAATAATCAAAGTCTTAGCTTAGTGCTTGCTTGCGCTATATGATAACTAGATACTGTACGTAACGCTATTGTTATTGTAGTAGTAAAAGCAATTTGGAAATAAGAATAATAAGTAATATATTAGAACATTTTATAATATTAATTATTATATAAATTAATTCGTAAGCGTTAAGGTTATTGTTATTGTATTTTAATACGTAAAAGAAAGCGTTAAAGTTAATACTTTTTATTGAATTGGTATTTTTTAAGCTATTTAGTACTAGCTTTCTACTTATGCTAGTTACCTCCTACTCATTTAACTTTCACCAGTACAACAGCTAAGAAACGGTAGAAACCTACTATACTATATCCATTTTAGAAAGCGTTATTTGTATTTAAAAAAGATACAAAGAGTGTTACTAATATTAGTAGAGACAATAAGGATTAAAGCTATTCAGAGCTTGCTCTACTACCTAGTTTGGATTAGAGAGCGAAAAAATCCAGCTTGTCATAATTATTTTCAGCTTTCTACTGTTCCTAGTCTAGGACCAGTTGGTTGCCGAACATACCCTTGCTATAATTGGGGTTTGCTAAAGTCCTGCCAGAGAGATCATCGCAGACACCGTTCACAAGTTATTTCCGGCTGGCGGGGTGAGACGGGAGATTCTTGAAAAGCATGAGGCGCTTTTCACTTTGGATGTAGGTATTGCATACCTGTGGAAAGAATAAGGGTTAGTACTCGTCAGGTCTACAAAATCGACCGTTTGACTAGCGGTACATGATGGCCTCTTACACGACGTTTGACTGCCCTGTTGAGCATTCCCCCCCACAACCAACCCTCGTCCGACAAATGATATACACCGGATATATGTTTCACGATCGCTCTCACCTACAAAGCAATAACGACCACCAACCCTATCGATAACTACTACGTTACTGTGGGTAAATCTACAGCCAGAGAGCTTCTTTTCCTTGGACCGGGGGCAGGCCTGAAATTCTGTTCCGCCGCATCCATGTTGATTTGTAACGCGCTGACTCCGGTTTCTCGGAGCCCCTCCGTCTGGGAATACGTTGGTGACGGTTCTCCTCTCAGTCTCGGGTTCACGGCTCAGATTTCTTCTTCACCTGGCCGAGGAGGTGTTTGCTTTGGGGGTATTGGAATTCGAGTGACTAAATCCAGATCCGGACCCTTCCTTTCTCCTCCCGAATCGCCGGTTCATCCGTTTTACGTTAACATATGGGATGTACTTGCTTGCATATACAAACTCTCCATCTTCTGGCCCACCCACCCCGGTCTCCGCTACCTTTCTTTAGCGGCACTCTCTGACTTACATACCTCCATAAGAACGGACGACAATCCACTTTGGATCGTCAGTCTTTCAAGAAGTTGAGGTTGTTATCCATCTTTCTTCCCCTTCCTCTTCTCCTTCTTCCTCGTCCCCAGTCCACCATCCATCCTTCCCTCTCTCTCTCGTGAACGAACAGGTCTTCGTCACGCCCGCCTCAACTTAGCTTTTTGCGCTGAAGCCACGAACTTTACTCGACACATATCCTGTATATCATATCACATTATCCAAAATGTCCAACCCACCCCACGGCGGCGTCCTCAAGGACCTGATCGCTCGCGATCTCCCTCGCCATGCTGAGCTCGAGGCTGAGGCAGAGACTCTTCCCGCTCTGCTCCTCTCCGAGCGTCAGCTTTGCGATCTTGAGTTGATCCTCAACGGTGGTTTCTCTCCTCTTGAAGGTATGTTTTTGTTGTTGTACTTAGTGGTTCTGTTTTGGTCTACATTTGACCACTGTCCCCCGTCCCCTGTCCTCCGGTTCTGGAGGGCGATGATGGTGGGGTTATGGGCTTCAGAAAGGCGAACCCCGCCATACCTATCATTCATCATCCATTGCGCCTCGCTCAAAGTCACAAAACCAACAGAAGCCCTGGAAATAACTATTGGAGACTATGGATAATTTGCTAATAGCTCAATTCGTCTCGACGAACGATAGGTTTCATGAACCAGGAAGACTACAATGGGTGCGTACCTCTTGTTTACTTGTTAACCCTCCAAGGCGAACCCCTGCTGGATTGTAGAGCAGCCGACTAACACGGGACTTTTACCCCAAACAGCGTCGTCAAGGAGAACCGCCTCGCTTCCGGCCTCCTCTTCTCCATGCCCATCACCCTCGATGTGTCTGAAGAAACCATCTCCGAACTCGGCCTCAAGGCCGGCGCCCGCATCACCCTGCGCGATTTCCGCGACGACCGCAACCTCGCCATCCTGACGGTCGATGATGTCTACAAGCCTGACAAGTACGTAAACAACAGATATGAATTGCGGGAGTGGGGGTGGACTTACACCACGAGAACACACCGGATGCGCGTGGCACGTTATTTGCGCACCTAGAGAACGTGGGATCAAAGAATCTACGGGATGAAATGCGCGCCAAGTGGTTGCGTCATTGCTTGGCGAATGGCCAATTCGTGATACTCGAGACCGGCGCGGGTGGAAATGTGACAGGACAAGAAGAGCTGACATTTGCGACAATGCAGGGCTCTCGAGGCTAAGGAGGTCTTTGGAGGAGACGAGGAGCACCCTGCTGTCAAGTTCCTCTACGAGACTGCCAAGGAGTACTATGTGGGCGGCAAGCTTGAGGCTGTCAACAAGCTCCAGCACTACGACTTTGTCGACCTCAGATGTGAGCAGCAAAGCACCCCCTCTTCTTGGCCCCGTTCGCCCTATGTTGCGATATACTGACGCGAGATGGGATAACAGACTCTCCCGCGGAGATCCGCACCCACTTCGACAAGCTCGGCTGGTCCCGAGTCGTCGCCTTCCAGACCCGTAACCCCATGCACCGCGCCCACAGAGAGTTGACCGTCCGCGCTGCCCGTTCGCACCATGCCAACGTTCTCATCCACCCCGTCGTCGGCTTGACCAAGCCTGGTGACATTGATCACTTCACCCGTGTCCGCGTCTACAAGGCTCTCCTCCCCAGATACCCCAATGGCATGGCCGTCCTCGGTCTCCTCCCCCTTGCCATGCGCATGGGCGGTCCCCGCGAGGCCATCTGGCACGCTATCATCCGCAAGAACCACGGTGCGACCCACTTCATCGTCGGCCGTGACCACGCCGGTCCCGGCAAGAACAGCAAGGGTGTCGACTTCTACGGCCCTTACGATGCCCAGTACGCCGTCGAGAAGTACCGTGACGAGCTCGGCATTGAGGTCGTTCCCTTCCAGATGATGACCTACCTCCCCGATAGTGATGAGTACGCCCCCGTTGATGAGATTCCCAAGGGTGTCCGTACCCTCAATATCTCCGGAACCGAGTTGCGCGCTCGCCTTCGCAGCGGCCGCGAGATTCCCGAGTGGTTCTCTTACCCCGAGGTCGTCAAGGTGCTGCGCGAGTCGCACCCTCCCCGCTCCCAGCAGGGCTTCACCGTTCTCTTTACCGGCTACCCCAACTCAGGCAAGGATCAGATCGCCCGTGCTCTGCAGGTAACGCTCAACCAGCAGGGCGGTCGTTCCGTCTCCTTGTTCCTCGGCGAGAACATTCGCCACGAGCTGTCTTCCGAGCTGGGCTACAACCGCGAGGACCGCGATAAGAACATTGCTCGCATCGCCTTTGTTGCTTCTGAGCTGACCAGGTCCGGTGCCGCTGTTATCGCCGCTCCCATTGCCCCCTTCGAGAAGGCCCGCCAGAGCGCCCGCCAGTTGGTTGAGAAGTACGGCGATTTCTACCTCGTGCACGTCGCCACTCCCCTCGAGCACTGCGAGAAGACCGACAAGAGAGGCATCTACGCCAAGGCCCGCGCCGGCGAGATCGAGAATTTCACCGGTGTTAACGACCCGTATGAGACACCCGTCAAGGCCGACCTTACCGTCGACTGCGAGAAGCAATCCGTGCGCTCCATTGTCCACCAGATCGTTCTCCTGTTGGAGAGCCAGGGTCTCCTCGATCGTTTCTAAAGGGGTTCTTCAGCGGTTGCATGGTTTTGCGTTATGCCAAAAGACCATCAAGTGCTGAGTGGTCAATTTGGCAACGAAATGATGAAACGAAAACAGGAAAACGAAAATGGGGTAAAGTGAAGGGCTAATGATTCCTCCATGGTTGCGGCGTTGATGGAATGGGAAGCAAGGGATGGATATGGAGGCTACTACAAGCAATATTGATGATCAGATACCTCAAGGTAGAACAGAACAAAATGGGATTTGAAGCTTTTTTTTTTTTCTCGCATTCAGAACATCAGCAGCTTCTTCGCGCGCCGGTCTGAATGGTATGCATTTCTGCATGTTGTTGCCCTGCATATGAATCCGTGTCAGGGACAGTGCAGCAAGCAAAGTTACCTAAACATCCGCCCATCCCAAAGTCATGAACCTGCTGTTGATTCGACTGTTCGCCTTTCTGCTGCTGGTGGTGTGCCCCATGTGGTTCCAAGCCTGGGACGAAGGGGGGGACCCTTTGGTCTGGTTGGCGGCTGAATGTGCCAACCCCTCTCTGCCGTCCATGTGGACTGTGGTTTAAACATCGCAAGGCGCTTAACATGCAGCGGACGCTGCAGCCAGCGGGTACCCGGCCTGTCGGCTTCAAGGCATTGATCTATGTAAAGGAACCAAGACTGATGGCACTGATGCCCGACAATTGAAGCTCTCGTGTTGTACTGAAATCTCGTTAAAACTTTGACTGTTATCGCAAGGTTCGTGATGCTCTTGATGCTGCGGTGTTCATCTGGACTAGGATGTATGGTACGTGGGCGTAAGGAGACACATGGGGATATGGGATGGAAGAGCAGGGAAGGTTTCGTTGGAAACGCCCAACAGGAATGGGATGAACAGCGTCAGGTGGGTCATGCCCCGTGCAACGCCCTGTAGTGATGGAGGTTGGACCTGGAGAACAACCAATTCGGCGTCGAGTTCTTTTTTCTTTGGGAAGGCTCCAGAGTCCCAAGAGTCTACAAGTGGAATCTTTGGGCAGCCACGGCACTGGCGCATCACACAGTGAAAAATATTCTAGACGTTTGTTTCGTAACGTTTCTACGTGTAATAGCTCCGTGATAGGGACAGGCTCTTTTTAGGCAGTATAAAAACACAGAAACCCATCAACCGACTATTTTGAGCCTATCCCCGGCGCTGCCCCTCCCCCAGACTCCCGTCTCCCAGACCGCACAGTGTGCAAACGAACTGGGACCGACGTTGTCGTCAGATTAGTTACCATCCCGGCAAGGTATCGCCAGCACAGGGCAGGGGCGCTGCCCGGATTCACATCCTTCGACACCTGAAGAACCTCAGTGAAAGCGAGCATTACCAAACCAGGCCAAGTTTGAACATTTGAGCGATCCAACTACGTACATTCGTACATTCATATCACCGACTGCGAGCCTGTGTTACTCGCCATCCCACTCCCAACACTTCAAGCCTTTTTTGTGGCCAATGATACACTCCTTACAAGTATAGCAATATCTGATTCAGCTAGACCAAGCCAAACCGCCATCCTACCTCGACCCGACCCGCATTCACCATCGTCTGCTCCTCGACCAAAACACACTGTGACAGCGTCTTCTCGCCTACCGCCCGGACAAGTCTCCCAGTCCTGCGCTGTGCTGTGCTGTCTTGGTTCTGCGCTCTTGCGTATTACACCGCGTCCCTCGTCAGACCCGACAGAGGAATACGGAGCGCACTGCAACACCGCCCTCGACCTTTCTGGTTCGAGCCAACGGCCACCGCAGGCCCCTCCCCCAACACTCGCCTGTCTGCGCGGCCACCCCCTCTCCAACAGCCCACCCACCCAACCGTTATTTGCCGCCAGAAGCTACAGCAGCAGCTGCGTCCCGTCACTGGTAGGGCGGGTTGCTTAAACCCTGCTATGCTTCACCATGCCGTCCTCTAAAGATCAGGATGTCGACTTCGACAACAACAGCCGCGTTCGTGAGGACCGACTGCCACACCGATCCAAAAGTGATTTACGGAGAGACACCAAGGACCGTGACCGAGATCGAGACCGAGACCGCGACCGCGACCGCGACCGCGATAGAGAACGGGACCGTGATCGAACCAGCACTACCGACCGGGACAGAGAACGTAGGAAGGAGAACAAGGACAAGGATAGAGAGAGGGACAGAGGAGACAGAGACAGGGAGAAAGACAGGGACAGAGACCGAGACAGAGGAGACAGGGACAGGGAAAGAGAGCGGGACAGAGACAGAGAGAAGGATAGGGACAGGGAACGAGACAGAGACCGCGACTACGACAGGGAACCGTCCCTTCTTCGAGAAAAGCGGTCATCCAGGACTCCCAGGCTGCTGAAAACCACCGACAGCGATACCAACTCCCGTTCATCGCGCCAGTCAGTGTCTTATCGCCGCCATCGGCCAAAAGAGATGGAGAAGGAAGAGTCCTCGATTCTGTCAGGGGCCGCGAGCTCCATGACCGACATAGTCCCGGAGCTTGCCCGGAGCATTGATCGGCCAAACATCCCGTATCCTACCTTCAGCAAAGTCCACAGCAAAGACCTCATTTACAGCAAAGAGGATCTCTCTTCCACCCGCACAGATCCGCTCACTCCTGATGGCACCGACGTCGGCAACAGCGACAAGAGGCGGTCAAAGTCCGTTGACTCTCGTTCGGCGCCACGGAAGTCTTCCTCTCTACGGAAGGAATCACGGAAAGAAAAAGAGGATCGGCCGCCCAGCCCACCGGAAACAGACCTGTCGGGCTCTAGAAGGAGGAGATCCGGGAATTCAGTATCGGTGAGAGAGGGAGAGCAGGGTCCAGAACGATCGGATTCCAGAAGCTCAAATCGGATGTCGAGATCAAGATCTGACGCCAGATCAAAGCTTTCCAAAGTTTCCAGAAGTGTCCAGCGAAGCCACGGAGACACAGTCCCAGACGTTCACCTCCCAATCCAGGCATTCGCCCGAAACCACTCCGACAGAGAATACCGATGCCTCAACGGACCTTTCGACAGTTAAGGGGTCTACGATGGAGTCGATGGCGGATACGGTTCAAATCAGACGGCCACCGCCAATCGAGGTCGATTCGTCACCCGAGTCCGCACCAGACTCATCGCCAAAGACGCCTACGCAAACGCCACAGTTCCCGCCTCCCGCTGTATCCCAGGAACAAAAGCAAACGCGGTTTGACGCTCCGTCTGACTTTACTGCTGCCTCCGAGGCTGTGACGGATACGACTGCTCAGCGAGCACCACCACCACCGCCACCACCACCGCCGCCTCCTCTTAGCATTAACCTTCAAGAAGCAACGCGAGTCGACTATCTCCTGCAGAACGGCGGCTTGCCGCAAACTGTTCCAAAGACATTCCTTGCCGTTTTGCCGCGCCAAAATGGCAACAGGCCATCGAACCCACCTCTGCAGGGTGCTGAGACACTGTTTGCACCCTTTTTCAACCTGATCAACCAGTATCAGACAGTACTCAAGAACCATGGATCCATTGCGGTTGCCACTGGTCATCGGACCGTAGCCCGCCGTCTCTTAGATCGACTGGAGAACGTTTTCTCTCGCGATCTTTGCCCCGATGGCTGCCCGTGCATTATCTGCCAGCACTCGGACGAGACACATAGAGGTTTAGGATGGGGAGAAGTTCTCGAGAGGGTCAGCGGCCGGGTTGATCTGCCGCAGTGGCCGCCTTTCGACCTCGCGTCACTAGGAAGCAAGGCCCAAGAAGATCTAGCAGAACTTCCTCCGAGACCGACGTCTCCCATCAACATGGACCCTGACATTGCTGAAGAGTTTAGGGAACACTATCTGCGTCAAACGAAGCGTGTCAGGGCAGCTGTCGACAGGTGGATGCAAACATGCGAGAAAGCCCCTGCGCCGTTGCCCCAAGAGGTAGATGACGAGACGCTAACCTTTGCCATCCTCACCAACCTGGACCCCGACGACCGGCCATTCTTCAATGCTCTGTTATCCGGCTCGCGGGATCTTCATCCGGCAACACGAGCGCCGACACCCTCCCCACTACGTAAGCCTCGAAACGACTTCGTGGTCAAGACGGGTCTCTCTCTACAGAGACTATACCGCCTCTCTCAGGCCCCACGCGATGCCGAGACGGCAATGTATCTCGTAAAGAACCCTGCCATGCACGATCTCCTCTATACGATTTCCGACATCAACACTTCCGAGTGGGAAATCTTGATATCAGGTCGCTTCGACGGATTTCTCTGGTCCGGAGCAGATGATGATGGATACGAACGAGACACTCCTTTCTCCCGGGGACCGACGCCAGCGAACGGGATGGGGGGAGAGAGGGGATTCGCATCTCCTCGTATCATGAGCCCAGGCATCCGCAACTCCAGAACCAACACCCCCTTCAGCCCCGGTATGGGAGGCGGCCCAATGTCGTCCACTCCCTTTTCCCGCGGCCCGACACCCGCCTCCTTCGTCAGCGGGACAACGAACAACTCATCCTACCCTTCCCGAGGAGCGGTGAGCCACGACGAGGAAACGGAGATCCAGGTCGTGGGCGAGCTGGAGCGCGAAATCTTCAACGGCATGGAAGCGCTCGAAGACGCCTTTGAGAAGCTCCACGAACAAGCCATGGGAGTTAGGGATGCATTGAGGAGAAGGGGTGCGGCACTGGCTATGAGCCTACAGCAGAAGAGGGGACTCGGGTACAGAGGGATCGACGTCTTGCCTTTGAGCGGGAGCAGTGGCGCTTATGACCGACCTGCTTGGGCCGATGAGGAGAAAATGATGGACGGGCTTGGTGGTGGTGTCGGCGGTGGTGAAAGATACGGTGGCGGCGCTGGCGGCGGGCCCGGTCAAGGCAACGGTTACTTTGATGATACCCAGAGTGAATGGGGAATGCAGGATGATATCAGCGAGCTGGCGCCGGATGATTCGGCCAGCCAGATTAGCAGTAACCGGATGCGGAGGCCCAAGAGGAGACGGGAGAGGGCAACGCCGGCGCCGATTGAGGAGGAAGATGAGGCGTGAGCAATATGATGATTTGCGGTACTTTAGTTCTTATTTTGGGGTTTTTACTTACTTACACAAGGCGGAGTAATGGTTTTGGTTTGGTTTGTTTTATGAAAACGGAATAATGACAAAGAAGGCACGGATATTTTTTCCTTTTCTCAGAAGGCCATAATGGAACGAAATGACACGACCACAAAACAAACATGAAGACCGTTATTCGTTGGGTAATGAAAGCAGTTGGTGTGAGTGAGCAAAGGGAGCGAGTAGGAAGTGGTTGGTTGGTGTTTGATAGAGAGCAGAGCACCGGGTGCCGTAGCTTCAGCCAAGTTGTGTTGTTTGGTTGTCGAGAGCTCCGGAATGAGCTTGGGGTTGGCGTTCGTTGTCTTTGTACTGCTTTATCTTTATGCGGTCCAACACGAATCTGTTCTTCTTTATTTATAACGGGGGGGAACCGTCGATGTATACATACCATACCACTCTGTGCTTTTCATATGAATTAAATGCTAAATCGTAATGGCGCTTATCATCCATCGGGCTTTGTCGTGGCGGCATCAAGTTTAATATCCCATAGGTAGGTACTGTACCAGCGTACCCATGTGGGATGAACACCTGTTTGCCGTACCTATCCAACGTAAACACCGCGCGCCGAATTTTGGTGCCAGTTGAACGTATAAGGCTTGATTGTACACTTTATTTTTCTCTAAACCCGTTGTGTGTAATCGTACAACTTTAGTAGTAGGCTGCCACCCCCCCCCCC